AGCTTGGAAGGTGTGACCTTGCCAAGCAGCCTGCAGACTTTGACCTTTGGGCGAGAATTTAACCAGAGCTTGGCAGGTGTGACCTTGCCAGGCAGCCTGCAGAGATTGACCTTGGGTTGCGCTTTTGCGCCTATGTACTTGTACGGCATCATACTTCCAAGCAGCTTGTGCGAGTTTTGCTTTTGGGAGTTTCATGTTTGCGTTCATTTCACAGATTTTGCATGATGTGCAAGGCTCCTCACCCATGACGATGTAAAGACGTGCTTGACGGATCAAAGAGCTTTTTGTCAACTGGGGTTGGAATGAAACATAAAGCCATCTGAGCAGTGGCCACAACTTCCAACTCATGGTTGAGTAGGAACAGGAAGAAGGTCTGTTTTGTGGGCGTGGCACCTGGTCTTTCTGCAAGTCAGCGCCAGTATGAAGACTTATCAACCCAAGGAGCCCCTCCCTAGCCACAACGAACCAGTCGGAGTGACACTGACTCAAATTCCGGCGTCCACAGATCCGGGCGTGACCACTCCGCTCGCATTCCGGTCATCATGGGCGTTGGTGGGTTGGAACCTCCTTGTCGCCCACACGAACCATGGAGTTGTCGCTGCACCTTCTCGTGAGGTTTGACACACGGCATGAACCATGGCATTCCACCGGTCCCCGGGAGCGCGCAAGACATGGCCTCGCGCGGGAGACGTGCTTTTCCCCCCCTGCGGACGCCGCGACGGGCTTGGCTCGTCGGGACCGAACGGCCGAGGCCACCATGACGCAACAGCTGGCCGAGGCCCCGTGTCGCTTGGTGGGCAAGGCCCGGTTCGCGTGCGACCGGCGTGTTGGGGGCGAGTGAACAGGGTAGATGGGTGGGATTGCGAAACCGGCAGAGGATGGTAGATCAGTTGGAGGACTCTGGTGGAGGATATGGCGAGTGTAGGTACTATATTACACCCAAGACCATGGTTGTAGTGAAGAGTAGTGCTTCTCTTGTGATTATGCAAGTCAGGAGACTGCCTGGAGTTCTGTGGATATCTCGCAGAATTGTTCCTGCTCATATTTCTTGTGATGATTCTATATCGCCTCAAAGTCAAAAGCACTGCACCCAAACTGGAGATCCTTTGGATGGTCATAAAGAGCCCTGATTCTCTAAGGCAAAGTCACCACATTAGCCGCAGTCATGTCTTTCGGAATGAGCCAGTTGTGATCATTTGCCGAACATTTGTGGTTTGGTACTGGTATGGCCCTGGATGGCTCAAAGGAAGGTCATTAAAGAGCATCCTCCACAGCTTTTCAGAACATGTTTTGCTTCTAAACGACCATGGCATCCTCCTGCTAGAGAATTTCTCCATTTTCATCCATTGTCCCAAGCCATTTGCGATTGCTGGGGTTGATACATTTAAAGTATACTAGTTTGTTGGCGCGTGACCTCTGGTTCGACCATGCTCGCACACGTCTTCCCCGTGGGTTTCGCAGGTGTTGGTCATCGGGGAACAGGGGGGCCAGGAGTTTTGGCCACGCTGCTGGGGGCCACGGTGCGGGCAGGACGGGATCTGGAAAGCATGGGTAATGAAGGTGTCAAGATGAATGAGTTTCTGCGGCACGGTCTGGTGAGTGTTCATCTATACATACAGTACAAATACATACCCGTTGTAATTATTTGTCATTCTGTTCTTCAAGATGATGACCAAAACCGCGCAAATTTCAAAGGACTCTTATTACCCTGAGGTATCGTGTGGCTTTGTCTTAATCTATTCAAGTGTATGGTGACCCCTGAAGACCAAGGCATGTTTGTTTGGTTGCTGGTCGCTGAAAAGAGCTGAAGAGCTGAGTCTGCCGGCTCCACGGAGGATCGCTCCAACGGAATGGTCTGAGATTTTCGGGTTTCGAGATGTTTCGAGACTTTTTCTGGAAGGAAATCACAAGAATCCCAAAAAGATCAACACTGTAATTGCCACTTTGCAAGTTCTGACTTTCTTTTAGCGACCACGGATCGGTGAGCAGTGATCCTATTGTTCCACAGTTCATCCTCCTTTCTGAGAAAAGAACCATCGACGGAATTTCGGATCTACTCCAGTAATTTCCAGATCAGATTCCCTGCCATGGATCACCCCTGTGAACCCTCTGCCCAGATTCTCGTCAGGTGCGTCTCTCACGGAGGCTGTCGGGGGCCCCGATGCGACGCCGAAAGCCAAGGGACGCAGGGCGGAGCCGAGAGAGGCCAGAGCTGACTGACCCCCGAAGGGAAGATGTAGGACTGTCAGCTGGCGCAAGTTTGAAAGCAATTGCGAAGATGCATGAGACAAAGACTGACCAAGGATGTTTCTCAGAGATGCATGCAGAGACCATGGTTTCGAGCCGAGAGATTTGAAGTGTGAGGGTCCCTAAACCCTTGCGGTGCGCCGGCGCGCCACACTCTGGCGATTGGTTTGAAAAGGACGGCTAAGATGGCTCGAGATCTCTTGCCGAGCCCGTTGTGAGACACCCGCGCCGGACCTGCCAGGTGTAAATGTTGAATGTCCGACGTGCTAGGAACCCAGCTGATGTGTTTAGTTGCTTCCACCACACCGTGCAAAAGCTACCAGGTTACCAGTATGAGGAGAAGATAGGTCTTGTGGATTGATGGTCATGAGCAGAGTCCTCTTCCCAAAAGGTCCGGCTTTCTGCGGCAAGGATGTGAAGGATCGGTCCTTGGGAAAGACCCTTCAGGACACCCTTTCAGATCCCTTCAGGACTTCCACTGAGCAGGGCGTCCGTCCCAAGGGTGTCCGTCCCACGAGTTTCCCTTAGATGTTGGACCATTGTGGACCCGTTTCACCATGGACCATGGACCAGGAACTTGAACTTCAAAATACCCCACTGGATCCCAGATTTTCACGCCCACAACTTCACTCCCTCGACTCCGTGTGGAGCGCGCCGCCACCTCGCCCGGTCCGACCTGGGCATCGGTCGTTGAGGTGCTCCGCCGCGCGGTGGATTTGGCCCATGATCCGGCAGGGGTACCTGGGGGCACCTGTGGGCACTGGTGGGGAGTGGCCGCAAGGGTGGGGTGAGCCGCAAGGGTTGGGTCATTACCCTTGACACGTTCAAAATCTTGAACACATTCTTCGGTGTTTAGCCTTGTTTAGACGGTAGCAGTAGCAAGCTCATCCGGTAGGTGTGATCCAAGTGATGACTCTTCTTTCACCATGTTTAGCATCGACGGGTCTCCCTCGCCGGGTCTTGGTTCCGGTCTCCCTCGCCGCGGAGTCTCGGTTTTCCGTCCCGGGCCCAAGTTCCTGGACCTGAAAATGAAGCTACACATGACACAGGTTATACTCAGGCGTTACTTGGGTGAGATGATTTCTCAGGGGTTACTTGGGTGAGATGGAATCCAAAGCACAAAGGATCCTTCGGCATCCCACTTTCTCCGAGAGAATTGACCAGTGATTTGGTCGGGAGTCGCCTACCACCAGCTCACGACACAAAGGGACAGGGTCAAATTCAACAATAGCTAATCGATTGTCAGCCAGTGGTATTTGTTCTCCACGCCAACAACTTGTTTCTTTGGCAGTGTGTTTCATTCCTAGGGTCAGCAAGTGGTGGCTTCGTGTTTGGTTCTCAAGAAGTGCGCTTACCGTCAACCATTTGTATTTTTGTGGAGGATGCTTTACGTACTGCAGTTGCCATTCAAGAGGTGAAGACAAGTTATTGCTTCCAATAACACCTGAGGGAGGACCGCTGTGACCACTATCAATGGCATTGACATGTATTGAGAATCCTGAGACGAGGGATTTGGCAACTGCGTTCAAGCCAGGATGGAATTGCCACAGCCTTTTTTGATGACGCAAGCAAGCTCTGGGCCGACATTCACTGGGTAAACAACAGATGCGCAGGGTAGATATTCTTGCAGGTTCTGCCCGCCGTTTGCGGGCCTCCACAGATGCATGCAGATACACGCCACCTCGGAACTTGAATCAGAATAGCTTTGCCCTGCGACACGGATACGGACAGGTGAAGACCTCCTGCCACGGATGCGGGTCATACTTTTGTAATTACCAGATTACATTGGAGCACCCATGAAAACGTGTGGTGAACAATTTAGTGCCAGCGACTGGTTCCGGCCGCCATGCCGCAGCCGGTGAGCACCGTGCGGATTGTTGGCTATGGCATGTGCTTTGGCTATGGCATGTGGGCCACGTGGGGGAACGCTGATGCTTCGCACAGATATTTGGGTGGTTGGAATGAAATGAGGTTTGCCCACAGGGGTGGCTTGGACTTGCTTCGCCGGGTGAGTGGGTGAGAGCCAGTAGATGTTTGTCGGTTTGTCTCGTTGCCCGGGTTAAACATGAGATTTCCAAAAGGCCAACCACCGATCCCAAGGCAGACATGCTGACTGCACGACATACACAGATAGGACAGACAGTTGGGAACGCACCTATGAAGATATGACATACAGCCCTCTTCCTTTCAAATCCTATACGGAGGATGACAGTGGAACTTTGGTGGAGGAGCTTTCATCCTGAACTATATTATATACATTAAACTACAAAGCATCGATCTAGGACTATTTAGATTTACTTCGGAGTGGAAACTCTTCTACTGGAATTCTATTGAGAAGCAGGGCTGACTGGCTGACTGCTCAGATTGGAGAACAGTGTGAACAATTTCAGAGTTTCAATGGCATCATCCTCAGTATATTTATGGGCATTGGACTTTTCTTCTCCGGCTCTATGATTCTCCACATCATCACCATGTGGAAGAACGGCAGAAGGTGTCATCAAAAGGATTCCAACGTATACAGCCTAACATCGCTAGCGAATGGTTTGGGATGGTGGAAGCAGGCCTCTCCCAAACAGATCAAAACAGATCAAACACATGGTCTTTTTTCGTGATCTGTACATCACTCCCGAGTCCTCTTCCATGAAGCCCTCCATGTTTCCCTTTTCGTGCTTCTTCGGATCGGTCCGGCCATCCGGGTGGCCGGGTCCCTTCAGCTTCGCCCGCTTCAGAAAGGACTGCGCTGGGGAAGCTGGGGCGTAGCGCCAGCGAGCTGATGCGGGAGGCCTTGCAGAAGTCCTTGCGCTCCGCGGGACTGCAGATGAAGGCGCCCGCGGGGGCCAGGGCCAGGTGGGGCGGCGGGCGGTTGGCGGAAAAACGCCGCGGACTGGCGTGTTTGGTTGGTTTTCCGGGGGGAAGTCCAAGACTTTGGGGATGGGAAAGAAGGATACCAGAACGAAACACTCAGACTGGCGGGGAAGAAGCGCCAGGTGAGTGCTTTGTTTCGTTGTCGTGGTTCTGTGGACTTTTGGTGGTTGGGGAAGATTCGGAAGCGAATCTCGAGCGCTTTCTCTCCAGCGGTGTCCAGTTCTTGACTGGACCCCAAAAATTGGATCCATGGAAGACTCCCAGCTTCTAATGGGGACAGGGCCAGAGTATAATTAGTTTCCCTTTCTCCTGGTTTCACATCATTCAGAAAGGTGGAAGGAATCAGCATGGAGATTACTTAGATTACTTTATGGCTTACTCCTCCAAGCATAGATGTTACATGGTCTTTTTCTGGCTTACTCGTACTTGCTGGTGGTTTTCGGTGATGTGGACTAAGTAATTAGAAGTGTAGTATACAAGAAGGAGATAGGATCTTTTGCCACGCACACCCACAAACAAGGCAGACACGCGTTTAGATGGGACCTGAAACTTGCACCAGGTCTTGTCGCCAGTCTTGTTGGGGGTTCCCCCCATGTCTCTTTGGCGTCAGATGATGGAAACCTTATTTATTGGTCGGAACCGATGATGTTGTTCCGTCCGATTTCGCCGGGTCCTTTCTTTTGCAGCCAAAAGAACAGACTATACTGTACCAGTAGTTTCATCCGGGGGTCCCTTAGAGTGGAGGGATGGTAGGGATTGCCATCCACTCACGGTCTGGGATCTCCCCCCTCCGACGTGGAAGTGGCTCCGGCAGCTTGGCAGGACTTGGATGGCCTGGTGGCGGTGCCCTCGCTGTCCCATCCGCACTTCATGGAGGCTCACTACCTTGCCACACAGGTGGGACCGGAGGGTATTGGGATTGAAAGTGGCCATGGAAAGGTGTCAAAAGAGGAGGGAGATCCAAAGAGCCTTAGGTTAGTTGTAAAGGATTGATACAACCAAGCCGCGTCGGTTTGGGAGGTGTTGAACGTAAGACCGTCTTTGGGGGGGCAGGGTTGGTTCGGAGCAAGATGGTTCATTTGGATGAATTCGATGATACCCCCCCAGGGTTATTCAAGGGATTGATGCTTGGCATCGATGAAAACACGACTGTCCAGTGAAGATGGCCGGCATCCTAGGTAGGGTAGGTGTCGTTGTTTTTTTCATTTTTTTCCGAACGATTCCGCAGCGTTCAGTGCCGGTGGCGATGGTTGGATTGAAAAATGCGGCAAAACGGTTAAAATCATGTATACACAGTGTATATACCCAAATGTATCCATTTGGATACCCAGCCAGGATCAAACAATTGTCCTGGTTCCAATGTGTTGCAGGTCTTCTTGTCCGTTCAGAGATCAGCACCAAACTGAACAGTGGATCGAGCACGTCCTACACCAGGTGTCCAACTAGTCTAGGAATCACGACAAGCGCTCCACACGTTCGCCCGCCACGACTCGCCCAGGTGGGCTTGCTGCCACACCGGGGCCCTGGCAGCGTGCGGGTGCGCACCATTGACACCGGCGGCGCTGGGCCCGTCTCAGGGCTCTTGGAGGCGGCTCGGATGGTGAAGGCGCGGAGAGAGAAAGGGAGGGTGGGAGGGTGGGATGGGGTGGGAGGCGTGAGTTGGAGCGTCTAGGAGCAAGTACCGATTTAATGAGGAGACACCCAACCGACATCAACCAAAGGGGTTATGTGGTTGTGGTCTATTTTCCTTGCAGGAGGTTATTGTCTGGGAGGTCTCCCTATTGAAAAAAAATCGTTTTGTTCAAAGGATGAAAAACCTCGCAGTTGGGGTGGCTTCATGGGTGTGCCAACTATACTTGGTGTACTTTTGTGTGACCATTCAGAAGCCGTTGCCCTTGATTTCATCACTGCTTACCATGTCGACAAGCAGGTCTACATACTGTAGTAGGTAGTTAGTTTTATAAAATTCTTTCATAATATGCTAAGGCCAACATTATTGATACAACAAGTCAAAAAAAAGTCAAATTGAAAAATCAAAAAGGATACAAAACAAGTCGAAACAAAAGAAACAACAGTCAAAAAAGTCAAACGCAGACCACAGCTCGAAAAAGTAAAAAACAAGTCGAAAACGTCAAAAAACGTCACAAAAAACGCAAAAAAAGGTCAAAACAGTCAAAACACAACAGCAACATCAAAAAAACATCACGAAAAAGAAACAATAAAACAAAGCCAAAACAAAACAAGTCAACCGCTCGAAAAAGTAAAAAACACAGGCGAACAACGGTCAAAAAACGTCGACAAAAGTCAACAAACAGTCGAAAAAAGTCGGATCTGGGCAAATGGACTTTTTTTGACTTTCTGAAACTTTCTGATTTGACTTTTTTTTGACTTTGACTTTTGGGATTGACTTTGTTTGAAAACAGGCTCTCTCCAAAGAAAGCTTTTTATAAAGTTAGTTGAAAGGCTCACTTCCAGACCCTTCAAAAATGCTCTCTCAATACACCAGCAAACCCACATCTTCTTGGCCTTGCCCTGTACAGGTGGTTTAGCCTTACCACTTCTTCTTGGTCCAGATGGATGCCTTTGCGCACGCACGCCTACGCGCCAGGACGAGCGCTGTCAGGCGGTGGCGGTGGTGGCGGGCGACGCCGTCTCCTCGCTGGCGACGCCGGAGTTCCTGGCACGCGCTGATCAGGGCTGCCGGGATGCTGGGCAGCAGCGGTTGATGGAAACGGTCTGGACGGATCTGGAAGCTGCCAGCTCATGAGGGAAAGACCTGGGAGCTTCACTTCTATAAGGATTTAACTGATTTAACTAAGTCAGTGGTCAATTCTATGAGGTTGTTTTGGGGTGCAAGGGGATGACT